TATAGGATGTGTAATCTTTAATGGGGGTGGGGGAGCAAAGAGGAAGAGGGAAGCCCTGCGTTAAGCATACCACTAGGGGAGAGCAGAGGCAGCATGAGGCCCCTGCAATTATCATAGAAAGGGTGATGAGAAATAGCAGAAGGAAGAAGAATAAGGAACAGTGGGGGGGAGGGGGGGAGGGACTTAGTCATCTGTTCAGTCTTGTTCAACCTTAGCTATCTGACTTTTCTTATAGATGGCAGAAGTATAGCTAAAACCTCAAAATACATTTCCCCTGCCCCTCCCTCCCTCCAGGTTTCACCAGTTGAATCACCTTGGGGGTAAATATTCTCATCAGGGCCTGTGGTGAAGTGCCATCATTCAGATTTGTGGTGAAAGACTTATCAAATTAGTTCAACAAATATTTATATGTTGCAAGCTGTTAAGTATGACACTAGGTATTGGTGATTTAGCTGTATAACAGTGGTCCTGTGGTTTTCCTGCTCTCAAGAAAACTAGTGAATATGATTTTTTCCTATTCTTTGGCATTTTACTTTGCATGACTTTACTACTTTGCTACTGTTGAAATAAAGACATTTCATTCTCTTTGCTGCTACTGGCTCATTCAATGTTGACCAGGTTTGTACATATCCTACAGCCTCATTTTATAGATGAGGAAACTGAAGTGAAAGAAAGTGATTGATTGGTCCCAGTCACAGTGAGTTAATGACAGAGCTCCGGCAAGAATCCAGGTTTCCTCACTCCTGTTCCTGTACTTGCCTCCGTACTATGCTTATATCATAAGAGGTGTAGGATACGATCTGGAACTTGAAGATTGGATCACTCACGTAGAAGAGCATGAAAATTTCGAGGCAGCAAATAAATATGGCATATATTGGAAAGCAGTTTGACATAGAGTTTGTGCCTGGGAGTCAGAGCCGCTGCTGACTTGGATGTGATGCATTCTTCTTCTCTTTACCCCATGTCAGTACCTCCATCCATCCCTTCCCATCTCCTTGCCTAATTGGATTCTGAAGATTTAGGGTACCAACGTCCTTTCTCTACCCACCCACACTTACTGTCAACCCACCAGTATTGTCTGGTTTCCCAAATCAACATAAGTTCTCTACATCTTATTTATGTCCAGGATGCCCCATGCAGTCCCTAAGTCATTCAGTTAGTAAGCATTTATTAAGCATTTACTATGTTCCAGGCACAATGCTAAGCCCTGAGGATACAGAGAAAGGGAAAAAATATGCCCTTTGTCTCAAGGAGCTCACATTCTAATCTGGAAGACAATATGCAGAAAATTATGGACGTACAAGATAGATACAAAGTAGAGGGAAGGTAATCTCAGAGGGAAGGTACTTCTAGTGGGGAAGACTGGGAAAGGCTCTTGTAGAAGGTGTGATTTTAGTTGAGTTTTGAAGGAAACTAGGGAAGCTAGTATTATAGGCAAGGAGCAGTATGAAGGTGTTGCTGGAGTAGAACGTATAGGGAGAACAGTGCAAAACTGTGCCCATTCAGTGCTTTTATTCCCAAAGCACACCCTGCCCCAAAGCCCTGGTATTCTTGGCGCACTTAATCTCTTCCCTTCTCCTCTCCTCCCTTTCTTCTCTCCCCTCCCCCTCATAGGCACTCCCTGCCTCTCTCCCTTCCCATTCCCAGCTAAACTACAGGGAGCACAAAGCTCCTTCCACCCCATTCCTAGGATGCTTCTTCCACTCTCATGCCAGAACAAGGTGGGGAATAAATCTGTAATTCAAATTTTTAAAAATCTACAATGTAAAAGATCTAAGAGAGAAAATCATTCCAGAAACCCATTTTGAAACAGCAATGGATAAGATGAAATACTAGCATAAAAATTAAAGTATATAAAAATATATCCAGTGAATTAAAGCAGTTGGAAAAATATACAGGAAGACATGAAGTAACAGTTATGGAAATTGAAAAGCGATATATAGAATCTTAAGGCATCAGTTGAAGCCACAAAGAACAAACTCACTGAAACCAAGTCAAGATCAACAGATAGGAAAAGACAGAATTGAAAAATAAATCCAGGCAGCAGGAGAGCAAGAAAGGGAAGAAAACCGAGGCCCTGAAACACAAAGCAGAGATAACAAACAGTAGAATAAATTGAATTTCGAGAAGAAACTGAAAAAAGAAGGGAAAAACTGGACACTGCATTTTGAAGACTTGATTACAGAAAATGTTCTCTAGTGGATTAGATCAAGCAGTGTTCTACAAGTAGGTTACAGAGGATACCAGCAAGGAGAAATTGCAGTTTTGATTTCACCAAGATAAATCATGAAATTACAGAATTATGAAAACAAAGAAAATTGTTCTCTACACTCAGAAATACCAACTAGAACATCATTTTTTAAAAAAGGAAAATGTCAACGTTGAATAAAAATATACAGAAGTCTTTGTTATATGTACTGTAAAGTTTGCCATATGTTTTTGAAAACAGAAGAGTTCATTTTCAAAACAGCCAGGACCTGAAAGAATTGATCAGTAAAAGTCCACAACTAAGAGACGGCATGGTACAGTTGATAGAGAGCTGGCCTCCAAGCCAGGGAGACTTGGGCTCAGGGTCCTGCTTCTGACACATACTTGCTCTGTTACCCTAGACAAGTCACTAATCCCCTGGTGCCCTAGCTGCTGCTAAGGTGCCAACCAGCACTGGTAGAGGGAGCTTCCTCTCCTGCAGTTTCTTATGCCATTGATATCACAGGTCCACTCCTTATGCCCACCCACGACTAAAGATAGCTTTTCGAGCAAGAAAAGAGGAAATAGAAATTGATCAGTCACTAAAAAAAGTAATTATGTACATTAGACCTATTATTACCTTTAAGTAAGATTCACCATAAATACAGATGTAATAATAAGATCTAATATTTTCTAACTATAAGAGAAATAACAAGATCATGGTTTTGACTTTTAATGATATAGAAGGCAGAGAACACTCAACACAATTATCTCTGATTAAAAATGTTTTATATAGAAGAGAGAAAATGCCACAAGGCAGGGTGGGTAGAGGAGAAAGAAGCCAACAATCCCAAAGAAAAAGTTTCTCCATCCAGAGTAAGAAGAGGGCTAAATTTAAGGGAAGTTTAAGAATTAGCAGTTTAGCAAATAGAACTATAATGCAATCTGTTTACTAGTTTTAAGAGTCGAAATAGCTATTGAGAGATAAGACAGCACTCTATACACACCACCTATAATAATAACAGCAAGACAGTAACTAAAAATAACAGTTATATTTAGGGTAAATTTTGTTAATATATGAATACTGAGCTTTTAGTACAAGTTTTTTAATAAGAAAATTTATTATAGCAATACCTCATTTATCTAGCACCTTTGGAGACAATAAGGTCTTTCACATAAGTGAATTTTCCATATGACAGAAAAGTTTGTTGAGTTACCCTTTAACAAGTATAGCCTTTAAAGAACAAAGGTCCTAGGAGGTGGTACACTGTAGGTGGGCTGGGCTTGACCAATAGGAAATAAGTGGATTGTTCCAAGAAGACCCCAAAATCAAGATAAGGGTCAAGCCAGCTCAGACCAGTTAGGGTCAACCTGAGGACACCTGAAAAATGTTAGTGTGCCTGCTTAATGAGCTTCATTACTATTATCTGACACACCCTGCATAAAATTAGAGCCTCATTAACAAGTCATGGGACGTATGACCAAGGGAGGGGGAACATACTTGAGCATATCAAGGGGAAACATGTAAGGAAAGGTGTAACCTGGGAAGGGTTGGACCAATCCCGGCCTGGGAGGTTTGCGCCAAATTCAACTACATAAAAGCACACTTTCCCTTGCACTCAGGGCCCACCCCTCCTGAAGAGGGGTGGAGCCGGCTTCTGGCCAGAAACGTCTAAATCCTCTGGACTTTCTTCATAATAAATTTTCTTGATACTACAAAAAAAAACCCAAACAAACAAGTATAGCCTTTAATCTTAATATATCTTTCTAAATATATCCTACAACTTCCTGCCTTAAAGAGTACAGAGAAGTAATTTCACCTTCAAATGATGACTCTAAGTGGGTGATAGTGATGCCCTTAGGGTCTATTAAGGTAGGGCTGTTTAATTCTAAACGTTTCACAGCAGTGGTTTGTTTTTTTTTTAAATTTATTTCATAATATGTCTGTCTCCTGCTTTGTTAGATTACCACCTGTCACTTATTGTTTCTACCCTTCTAATCCTTTAGGATCTAGGAAACAAAAGAACCAATGTTGCTAGAATTGTTATGTGAAAGTAAGTGAGGTTTGGAGGGTTTCTCCTATGAATAAAGTATGTGAACTTGTCACCCTTTGGGAATTGTTAAGAGTATACACTTGTTCGTGATATTTCCTTCCATAATGATAATGTTGCTAAGTCTTGATGAGGGTATTCTGTTAAAGAAAAGGACCTGATTTCAGTTTAGACTTTTGTCACAAATACTTTGGGGGCTCAGTTGGACAAAGCACCAGGCCTGGAGTCAGGGAGACCTGAGTTCAGATCCAGCCTCAGACAGCCACTTAGCTGTGTGACCCTGGGCAAATCACCTAACCTCTGTTTGTCTTAATCCATTGGAGAAGGCAAAAGCCAATCACTCCAGTATCTTTGCCAAGAAAACCCCAAATGGGATCATGAAATGTAGAACACAATTGAACAATGCTTTTTCCTTTAAGAAAGCCAGTCTTCCTTTTTGGATGTCAAATCTTTCATCTTTACTGTTACCAGCCTAGTTTACAGTATAACAGGTTTATGGTATGTGTTAAGAGTGGAGGCTACTTTTTTTAAACAATTTGATCTCTTTGTTTTGGGGAGTAAGAATTTGTTAGAAGAATATAGTGGGTCCAGTGCCCTGCAATGGCAAAAAAATTAATTAGGTATCCTAGAATGAGAGTGCTTTCAACTGAAATAATTTCATTATTAGCATTTTATTCCTTGCTGCTTTCCACTCTGTTTATTAGATGAATGCATATTAAAGTCATAGCATACTTTTAAAAATACGTTGTTTTTGTTTTTTAGATCGGCTTCAGCTCCCCAGGAACATGATCGAAAACAGCATGTTTGAGGAAGAGCCGGATGTGGTAGATTTAGCCAAAGAACCTTGTTTACATCCCCTGGAACCTGATGAAGTGGAATATGAGCCTCGAGGTTCAAGATTACTTGTTCGTGGTCTTGGAGAACATGAGATGGATGAGGATGAAGAGGATTATGAATCATCTGCAAAACTGCTGGGCATGTCTTTCATGAACAGAAGTTCAGGTCTTCGGAATAACATAACTGGCTACAGACAGGGTCCCGATGGGGCTTGTTCACTGCCCTCTGCAAGGACCATGCTAGTTTGTACTTTTGTCCTTGTGGTTGCTATTTCTGTAATAATGGTGATTTACCTTCTCCCCCGGTGTACCTTTACCAAAGAAGGCTGCTATCAAAAGAATCAGCCCATGGGATTAATACAACCTATTGCAAGTAATGGGAAGTTGTTTCCCTGGGCACAGATGAGACTTCCCCAAAATATAATGCCATTACAATATGAACTCACTGTACACCCAAACCTCACCACAATGAAATTCGAGGGTTCTGTGGAGATAAAGATTCAGGTCCTTAAAACCACTCAGAATATTATTCTGCATAGCTCTGGGCATAATATCTCTGAAGTAGTCTTCACTTCAGTAGTTCCAAAGCAAGAGAAACCAGTTGAAATCTTGGAATATAAATTTCATGACCAAATTGCAATTGTAGCACCTGACGCACTTTTGGAAGGCCACAACTACACACTGAAGATAAACTACTCGGCCAATATGTCCAGCAATTACTATGGATTTTATGGAGTCACATATGAAGATGAAAATAAGGAGAGAAAGTATGTTGCTGTCCTAAATTCTTTTGTTCTGTGATCTGTTGTTATTTCTGAGACTTGCTCATTGTCAGCCAGATCAAAGACACTAAATGCAGCTGTTTGCTTTTTGGTTCCATGGAAGAATAATGCACAGAACACATTCTTTCTTCCTCATTTGGTATCAAAGCTTTGAACATATGTTTGAAAATGAATAGAGCTTTAATGTCAAACAGAGCATACTTTTCTCTGACATTTAGATCTGTCTTTGCATTGTTTAATTTTTATCCATCCCAAGGTTTTCATAACCCTGAGAGATAAATCTAATGTACTTCATCTTTGATTCCTTTTGGAGAGAGAGGTTGAGACCTTGGAACTGTTTTCTTTCTTGGGTCTTTTTTCCCCCCTCCAATTTAAAGGAAAAGAAATTGGGTCATTGGCAGGGAGTATCAGATGACAAGGATTCAGTTTTCTGTATGTATTTTCTTATGTCATTAGTGTTAGTGGGTTATTCGGAAAATACACCTGCCTACTTTGGATTTGTGTTTGAAGCAAAAGGAATCTAGATGAGCCTCAATTAGGTGGAAAAAGTTATGGTAGAAAAGTGAAAAATGTGCTCCACATTTTGTAGTCTGGCATGTGCTTTCATCTGCAATGTTTCGTGCAGTTTTCTTTTTAATTTACAGTTTTCTGAATTTTTCTTAAGCAGAGCCTGTCATAAGTCAGTTATTTTAAAAAGTTTTAATATACTGTACCATTTTGTATTTATATATCTCATCTTCACCCTAAACTGTCATCCGTCAGAATGACGGAATAGCTATTTCTAGACTTAGAGCCAGAAAGGCCCCTTGGGACTCTAGACAATTCTCTAAGACTATCAACTGAAGAAGAGTGGAGATCTGTATTGGTGCAGGGACTTTCCTCGTAGGGAAATCTCTGCATCCTAACAATCAGGACCCAAAATACCATTCTTTATTGAAAATACTCTGCATAATGCTGTATCAGATACCAAGTAGTGCATTCCAATATGAGCTGCAAAGCTTTTATGAGTGCCTCCTATGTTCGAGGCACTGTACTCTTGCCAGGGATATGAGGACAAAATTTAAAAACAGTCCCTTTACAAGCATACTTTCCATGTAGAGGAGAATATAACATGAAAAAATATATATATTTACACAAATATATGTGTATATATATGTGTGTGTGCGCACACACACACACACACACACACACACACACACACACGCGCAGTCTTTATTTGATGAGAGAGAGAATGCTAATAACTAAGGGTACCAAGAAAGTCTTTTCAATAGGATGTTGCCCCATGAGCCAAGCCTTCAAGGAAGCTTGGGATTCCAAGAAGCAGGGATAAAGGAGTGCGCTCTAGGCTTGGGGGAGCATAATCTGTACAGCAGCATAGAAACTGGAAACCAGGGGTCCAGTTAGGAATCTGTTGAAATAGCATGGATGAGAGTGGGTGATATCCTGAACTAGCATTGTTTCCATATGAGTGAGGGAGGATGGATGTGATATGTGTTTGTTTCTGTAACTTAGGTGGTAAGTGTGTACAGAATGCCACGTTTAGCAACACTGAAAATGTCACAGAGACACAGTTAGCCTAAGAGAACTTTGAACAGGTCCAGGTGCTCTGTTAACACTAGGTCTTCTTTGTTTAGGGGTCTTTTGCATAATCTGTCTTCCTTTTTTTTTTCTTCCTTTATAATGAATTTAAAAAGTAATAAATGAGGCCTAAGTATTTAGATAAATTCTCACATGTCTTCCTCAATAAAGGAGCAGGGGAGAGAAAAAAGTTTTTTTAAATTTGTCTCAGGTTAAAAAAGAAAAGAGATCAGTGTGTTTTATTTGAACACTGAAGTTTTTGGTTCTTGATTTTAAAATTCTACCATTAACAATAAGTTTGCCACTGATAAAGTGAAATCACAATGGCACAGATTGGCTGGTGGCACCTTACTGTTTGCAATTTTTTCACGCATTTTTCATGTTCTTTTAGGTACTTTGCAGCAACTCAGTTTGAACCTCTTGCAGCAAGGTCTGCTTTTCCTTGTTTTGATGAACCAGCATTTAAAGCAACATTTATCATCAAGATTGTGAGGGAGGAACAATATACAGCTTTATCAAATATGCCCAAGGTAAAGTTTTGTCCCTTGAATGTGAATACTTTTTTTTGTGAGTCTTTCTCATTGCTTTGTTTCACCTCAGCTATGGCAAAGAATATAGTACAGTTATCCCTTCCACATCGAGACTTTCTCCATTGCAATTTCGATATATCATGAGTCAGCCTAAGAATTTAAATGGGAATTTTTCTAGAGTTTTGTGAAAGCTGCAGATGACACATGAAGGCCATCAGATGACACAGAGCCTACAACCAAATACTTAACCCAAATTTTACAGTAAGGTGCTGTAAACACCCCATAAAAGGAAAAGAAAAAATTCCGACTCCTTCTCTTAGATATGAAGGGAGGGCCAAAACATTTTATGTGGATTTTCCAGATCATGGGGGCACCACACCCCTAGCCCCCATGATGTGGAAGGAATAACTGTACATTCTCTACTAGATGAGAAGGCACAACTTAAAGTGTCTCAGTGGATATTTGTATTCTTGCTTAGAAAACCTATTAAGAAACTTCAAATGTTTGCAGGAAGATTAGTGGTTGGTAAACCTATAGGAAATAAAAACCAGAGGAAGGAGTCATTATTTTCTGAAATGTATTTAGTTCATTTGGTTAGCAGTTTGACAAGAAATTGATTTATACCTGTATCTTAACAGTGTACCACATGCTTTAGTGAATTCTGGTTGGATGAGAGACTTAAAATATTTTTTAAAAGCTGTTTGAAAAGGTGGAGATCTGCCTTGGAATGGTGTACTTCTCTCAGTGGTGAAGGAGGTATTGCCTTTTTTTTCTTTTTTTAACACATAGAAAGAATTATTAGAGACAAGGTAAATGGTGGATTACAAAAAATTTGAAAGGTAAAAAATGGTAAAAAAAATTTTAAAAGAAAAAACAAATTGAAAAAATTGTTCATCACAAGATAAAACATTGAAAATAGTACAGAGAACTGTTAAAAACCCTTTATTTATTATCTACAATAAATAATAAAAATAATACATTTTCAAAAGAAGGAAAACATCTTTAATAATCATTTGAAAAATGCTTACCCTCACTTATAACCAAAGAGCTATAAATTAAAATAACTGAAGTAGCATCTCATTCTTATTAAATTGGCAAAAAATAGTTAAAGTAATGCATATGCAATTCTGGCTATGGCACATAGCCACAAGAGCACTCATTCATTGCTGGTAAATTCACAAACTTGTAAAAACAAAATTTGAAGAGTAGTCTGGCAGCACATGGTAAAAGTTATAAAAAAAAAATTCATGCCTTTTGAGCCATTAATTTAGTTGTTGGAATATAACCTAAAAGCGTTATCATATATCCACAAAAAAAGAGATCTGTACAAAGTTTTTTCATAGCAGCATTATTTGTATGGTTGGGAGGAACTTATAATTAAAAACGAATATAGTAAACATAAAAAACTGAAATAATTTTTCTGGAATAATACAAGGTGGAAAAAAAAGCAGAATCAGTGGAGTACTCACTTTGATCTCATTTTCATTACATAAACAAGCCCTTGTCTTTTCCAGTTGTGTACTTCCTCAGTGATGTACCTTATGCCACTTCATGAATGGAGGTCATCATTAGAGATATAATGCAGCCTATTTGCACCCAAATCTATATTGTATCTTTATTGTCCTTTGGGTCATCTTCAGTTTTAATTCCTCAAAGATTTTGGTGTTCCTTAACATGCAACAATACATTATTCCCAGTGTTGAAAAGACCAGTTTTTGCATTGGGGAGAAGATTGGCATTGTTGAAAGCACTGATCATCTTCTCAAATGGAATCCAGATTGGTCTCATCTTACCATTTAATTCATGGCTCAACATATTGTCCTTCCATAGTTTCTGTCCTAAAGATATGAACTGGTGTACTAACCCAATGGATTGATCATCCAACTTCATGGCATAGTCTGGAGAGGCATTTTTAAAGTATTTTTTTCCCTGTATGGATTGTAAGACCAGTGTTTTCTGAATAGTCATGGATATCATAATTTATTTTTTCAACCCATGAAACAAAACATTTATTACCTGATTGAAATAATCTCTTGAGAAGGATGCAGCACAAAGGAAGATTGAAGAGCCACTGAGTGTGTTTGGAGCCAAGAAGTAAGGGATCTGGGCACTCTGAAAAGGAATTAGCTGTTTGTACTCCGAGGAACAGTGATATGGATCCATAGGTACTTCAGGGTAAGATATCAAATAACAGTCAAAGGAAAAAGAGAAAAATAGTCTTACGTAGGGATTCCTTTTTGAAGAGTACTGAAGCAGCTATTTTCAACCTAATAATAACAGCAGAGAAGCTTATTGCCTTCCCAAAGCATGTATCTAAGACCTAACGGAGAACCTCCAAAGACATGTCAACTTGGATGATTGCTACTCAAAAGATAATGCCAGAAGAAACCTAGAAAGGATTACTAAAAATTACAAAATCTTGGACAAGAAACTGAAGCCCTCTTGGGAGTGCTGGTGATGGCTGCCTATAAAACATAAGGGACTTAGAAGATAGAGACAGATTTGGGGAGTTGACAGCTGGTTAAGAAGATGATTGCTGAGAAAGGGTTTGGATGTCTGGAAAATGGCTTAAACTATAGGAATGATGGGTTCCTGGACAAGGATGGAGTGCATCTGCTTAGAGTTCTGTAAAACTAATCAGAAGAACTTTAAGTTGGAAGGGATGGAAGAAGAAAACTGCATACATTCCCCCAAGCTAGAAACTATAGAGGACAGCTAAAATGTAGGAAAATGAAGATTAGCTTAAAGATGATTCCAGAAATTTACAGGAGACAAAACTCAAGAAAGGAACTACTGATAAAAAAAAGTCTTAGATGTCTAAGACGAAAGTTTCACTAAGGAAGATTAAATAGGTATACAATAAGCTAAATTTTATTTCGTAGATATCACTGAGGCTTGGTGGGATGAGATCCATGACTGTAATGTAGCTGTGGTTGATTATGCTTTATTAACAAAAGAAACATGATATGTCACTGACATGTTTGTCTTTGTGTGTGATTGTAGTAATGTTGTTTTCATAGGAGCCCTCTCAACATAAGAGACTCCATCTCGAATTGATAATGAGCACTCCCAAACCCTTAAGAATGTCAACTACCTGATTGTGTAGATCTGATAACTAGGTTTTTGTTATGCATGTTTGCCTATATTGACCACCTCTATCACCTATAAATCTATCAGATTTATCATCAGTTTCATACTAATAATTCAATTATCATCTAGAAGTATGGCATCAATATATTTGTATATTGGCACCAATAACCTCTGCCACTGATTACATCATATAAAAGCTGATTTCGTAGGTAGTGCCAACACTGTCCAGCTTATTTGTGTCTTTTTTCTAAAAATGCCCAGTTTAGGAAAGGAAAAGTAGAATCTCATGGCCTAAAATTTTACAGGATGTAAATCCCAAGATGGAATCCTCTCCAGAATGAAATTCTGAGGACACAAAAAGAAACAGCTCCACTGAGGAGAAATAAGCAGAGTTGTCTAAGGAGCCTGCTGTAGACGTATAGGAAACTAACTCATCAACCAATGTAGTTTTTTTTTTTAAACCAATATGTTTACTTTTATTCGTCAGTCAAAGGACATGTAGTTTAAAGCAAAGACAGATGAACTACCCAAGTAAGAGGAGTAACCAGATACATTTCAGTCACAGCCTGGGGCACTTTACCCTAAATATACCATCAGTAAAGAAGATGGCCATGCATATTGATCACACTTAAGGGATGTACACATAGGGAATGCATGTGACAGGTCAGACATGTGGAGTAGCATACTTGTACCTTATACATATGGTGACTATACAAGTACCAGGGAACACATGCAGCTAAGCCAGAAATTTGGAGAAATACATGTGTAGGTAATGTGTGTGATCAGGTGACATTTAAAAAAAAAATTTTTATTTTCACTGCCAAATTCTCTCTCTCTGCCCTCCCCACTCTCCCACCCATTGATAATGCTAGAAATATGATACCATTATACATATGAAGTCATGCAAAATGTTACCCTAACTCTAGTCTCTTCTTACTTATATTGGATATAAAATTGCTATTAGCCGTTTTTATTCTGTCCATAGATTATTTTCCTTGGCAAACAAATCATAAACGAAAGAAAAATTGGGCAATTTTCTTTTCTCTCTGTCTAGTTATCATCATCCTCTCCACCATGACCAGCAGTGTACTTCCTTCTTTGATAATTTTCTTTTACCAATGTAGCTAAAAAAAAAAAATCTCCTCTTTGTTATCCTTCCCTTGTTTTTTCTCACCAACCTCAGCTCATGTTTACATGTTCCTGGTCCTATTTTTAAATGACTGTCACACTTCTATATTCATGCATTTGCTATCTTCCCTTATTTCTGTCTTCTGTTCTGGTCTTTTAAAAATCTAAGTTTGGGGCTTTTCTTAAAATGATTAAGTACTGTCTGTCTAAAACCAAGAGCAAGCATTATCTGTAATGAGGATAAATTGGAAGCCTTCTTAGTAAGATCAGGGATGCAGCAAGATTGTCTATTATCACCCTGATTATTCGTTATTGTATTAGAAATACTAGCTATTGCAATAAGATAAGAAAAAGAAGTCGAAGGAATAAGCCTAGGTAAGGAGGAAACAAAACTTAACTAGTTTTTGCCAAACAATGAGTTCTTGTCTGAACAGCTGGGAACTTTAAGTTTGTCAAACATTAGGTTACTGTGCTCATTTGATTTCTTCCTCTAAAGACGGCTTCTTCATATAGTTTGATCATTTATCAGTTGGGAAGTGGCTCTTATTGTTATAAATCTGGCTCCATTCCCTTTGTGTTTGGGAAATGAAACTTTTATTAGAGAGATTTGCTGGAAAAAAAAATCCCTTAAGTTTCCTACTTTTTCTTCTAATTTTGGCTACATTGGTTTGGTTTGTGCAAAAAAATTTAATTTTATATAATCAAAATTATCCATTTTACCTCCTATGAACCTTTCTATCTCTTGTTTGGTGACGAACTCTTCCCCTATCCATAGATCTAATAGGTAATTTTTTTCCATGTTTTCCTAATTTGCTTAAGATCTAAATTGTGTACTTATTTTGACCTTATCTTTGTGTCAGTATGAAGTGTTGGTCTACGTCTACTTTCTGCCAGACTACTTTCTGGTTTTTCCAGCTACCTTTGATGAGCTCAAGTTACTTCACCCAAGTGAACTACATCCTGAGGTCTTAACCAGACTGGTAGATATGGTTGCTGAATCATTGTCAGCAATCTTGGAAAATCATGGAGGGGGACCACAGAATTAGGATTGGACAAATATTGCTTCTTTTTGGCCAGTGAACTTCACTTCCTGGTAAAATTCTAGAATGTATTATAAATGAATAGTTTAGAAGCATTTAGAAAAAGGAAGCAACGATTACTAAGAGCCAGCTGGCTTTAACAAGAAGAGGTTATTCCAAACTAATATAATTTCCTTTTGGGGGGGCTGGTGTGTATGAAGGGGAACAGGGTTACTAGATTTGATAGTCTCTTATACTATTCATGGATAAAAAAGGGAAATATGTGGGCTGAACTCTGGCACATGGTAATTCCATAAGGTTGAATGGCGAGTCTCAAAAAAATAATCATTAATGTTTTAGTGTCATCTAGAAGGAAGCTTCTAATGGAGTACCTTAGGAATCTTTGCTTTGCCCTGTGTTGTTTAACATTTTTTTTCCCCAGAGACTTGAATAAAAGCATACATAATATGCTTCAGATTTGCAAATTACAAAGCTGGAAAGAATCAATAACACATTGGATAAAAGGATGCAAAAAGATTTTGATATGCTAGAACATCAGGCTGACTCAAACAAGAGGACATTTAATAGGGATAAATGTCATTTTGCACACTTAGATTCATTAAACTAACTTTCCAAGTACTAGATGAGACAAGGGAAGAAAGGAAAGAGTGGTTTAGGTGATTTGTCTAAAAATGATTTTAGTGTATAGGTTCATTGTAATTCAACAGTATGATATGGCAGCCAAGAAAGCTAATGTACTCTTAGCTAGTATTAGGAGAGACAGAACATCCAGGAATATGGATGTCCTAATTCCACTGTATCCTGCCTTGGTCAGACCGTGTTTGGAGGATTGGGTTCTGTTCTGGGACTTTTAGGAAGTTTATTCGTAGACTGAAGAGTGCTCAGAGCAGGGAGTTCTGGATCCCGAAGGGCCTCAGATTCATTCCATAGAAAGCTGGATGTTAGAAAACTTAGAGAGGAGGAGGTAAGGAGGAGGGAGATGTGGTAGTTGTCATCATGAAGGCGAAGGACTTTGATTTGGAAGAGGAGTTAGTCTTTTGGCTTCAGATAAAACTATGAACAGTGAATGGAAGTTACAAAGAAGCAAATTTAGTCATGTATTGAAAATTAGAGTACTTAGAAGCCATCTTTGAAAGAGGCGTTCCAACCTCCTTATTTTGCAGATAAGGAAACAGGCTGAATGAAGCTAAGTGACTTTCCCAGGTTCAGACAGGTAGTCAGTGTCCAAGGCAGGATTCAAACTCAGGTCTTCCTGTCTCAGAGCTCCAGCACTGTATCTAGTCACAGGTTCCTCATCCCTGAGTTCTAGTGTATCACCAAGCTGTTTCCAATCTTTATTAATGGAAAAACTTCCTGACAATAAGAGCTATCCAAAATTTGAGTGGGCTTTCTCAGGGGATGGTGGGTTCCCCCCTCACTTATGATCTTCTAGTAAAAAAGGCTAGATGATTATTTGTTGGGTGTGTTGTAAAGGAAAAGTTTTTTTTTGTTTTTATGGTTAGTACAAGTTGGACTAGATTCTGGCCTCTTAAGTTTCTTCTACCTTTGAAATTCTGTGATTCCTGTTAATGTGTTTTACAGCCATTCAAAAGATATATACTAATATAGACTTTGTGGGTTTTAGAGACCACTTCATGCATTTCTTGGAATTCACTCCCACTTTCTGAAAATGATGAACAAGAGAATAAAATAGCCAAGAAGTATGAACTGTGCTTTGTTTACCGGTAGCTATTTTTGCCTAATTTATAGTCAGAAATCCAATCAGAAGTCCAATCCATATGGCACTAGACAGCAGCATTGTTCATTCCTATAGGATGGGGGAGGAGGAGAATTCTTAACTCTCTGCATCCAACAATATAACCACATGTCCTTATTCAGCCTTCAAATTGAAGTGGTATGGGGCAGCTAGGTATCACAGTGGATAGAGCACCGGCCCTGGAGTGAGGAGGACCTGGGTCCAAATCTGGCCTCAGACACATAACGCTCACTAGACGTGTGACTCTGGGCAAGTCACTTAACCCCAACTGCCTCACCAAAAACAACAACAACAACAAAACAACAACAAAAACCAATATACAAATTGAAGTGGTATCTGTGCCGGTTAAGTGGAGTTTTATGAGCTTCTGGAGAACTCAACTTTTGATATGACGAAGTAGTATGGTAGGGTGGAAAGAGCACTGGATTTCCCATTAGCAGCCCTGGGGTCAAGGCTTAGCTTTGTCATTTGCTATCTGAATAACTGTGCATATGTCACAACCTCTCTAAAACCTAAGCTTCCCCAAATGTAAAATGGTATAATACTTATACTGCTTATTTCATCAAGGTGTGTGAGGAAAGCACTTGATTAATTGTAATGAAATATAAAATAAACTAACCTATACTTCTGTTTTGAATTCTTGTACATTTCTTATGAGATTGACACATGGTATTATTTTATTGGTTAAAGAAACTGAGACACTACACCTATGATGTAAACTTAAGATTTCACAGATGTAAAATATACTCACATCTTTATTATGCATCATCTGTTCATATTTACTTATCACAGTTGGTTGGTTTTTGAGTTTGTTTTTGGGAGGGGAATGCAGCAATCGGGGTTAAATGACTTGCCCAGGGTCACACAGCTATTAAATGTCTGAGGCTGGATTTGAACCCAGGTTCTCCTGACTCCAGGGCTGGTGCTTTATCCATTGTACCACTCAGCTTCACCTACAATCATATTTTATGATAACTATTATGCTTCCCCCCCTTTTTTGTTTTGTAGAAGTCATCTGTTCAAATAGAAGGCAGGCTTGTTATGGATGAATTTTTTGAGAGTGTGAAAATGAGTACATATCTGGTTGCCTTCATTGTGGGAGAATTGAAGAATATGACCCAGGAGACCAATGGAATTCTGGTATGTTATTTCATTTATGCCTTTAAGCCTGTTTTACTTGAATGCACATGAGTGAATTATTAAGAATTCTAATCATTTCTTATGTCCCAAACTCTGTACTTTGTGCTTATTATCTAAACAGACTGTGATAGACCTGATGTGGTAACTAGACATAAACAATTTAAAGTTCATCTCATATAGGTAATTGATTAAAAGGGAAACTCGGTAAACTATTATATTATTTCACAGAAAACTCATAGTGAATCAATCTCTCTTCTCCACATTATAGAAAAACAGGAAGGACTTATTAATTATTATTCTATTTACACTTCTCTTATAAAGACTAATAATTTATTTTGAACATCTATTTCTGTTTGCCATTAGTGCCTGTTACATAGTGATAGTTTATTTGAATTTCTTCCGGAAGTGCTGAGTCAGTCCTTTCACAGGCTTACGCTGTAGTAAAGGTGAGGGTTTTTCTTTAGCTAATCAGTTGACTGTCCTTTACTATAAAGTTTTAAAACCTTTCATTAGTTAGCTAATTTACTACCAGGTTGTAAACATAAGGCACCATTCCCAACACATACAGCTAGATTTTGGTTTCTTATTTAAGAAAAAAAAAATCATTAAACCATAGCACAACTTCAATCTGATCTTTTTCTATAGAATGTATAGAACCCTGCTAATTGAGACTGGTCTGAAGTATATTTGTGTGAATACATGTATGCATGTGTCTGTGTGTATAAATGTGTGTATGTTTTTCTCACCCCACATAACCATGCAGTGAGCAAGTTTGTCAGTTTTACCTCTGCACGTCTCTCACGTCTGACTCCTTTTCACTCATTGCTTCTTCCCTCCTCCATCACTTCTTATCTGGTCTGTTACAGGAGCTTACTTTCTGACTTCCTTTCTTAAATCTCTCTCTACTTTATCCTATACACATGCGCACATACTCTCTCTCTGTGTCTCAGTCTCTCTCTGTCTCTGTTTCTATCTTTATCTCTCTCTCTCTCTCTCTCTTTCTGTTTCTGTCTCTGTCTCTCTCTCTTGTCAATACTTACTACCTCTAGGACCAAATAAACACAAACCCTTCTGTTTGGCATCTCAAGCCAAATTTACATTCTTGCTGTTCTCCATTCTTGACCTGTATGTATGTATACATATACATGTATATATGCATATACATATACATATACATGTACATATACATATACATACACACACACACACACACACACACGTGTATGTGTGTATCTCCAGCTCTATATTTTGCAAAAGTTGTCCCCCATACCTAGACTGCATCTCTGCCTTATAGAATCCCTCATTTCCATCAAAGTTCATGAGGCCTTTTCTGCAAGTGTGCCCCCCACCCAATTACCTCATATTCATTTTACATATGCCTATTTTGTATGTATGTTGTATCCCTGGATATCATCTGTATATCTCTAGGGCTTAGCATAGTGTTTGATTCATAGTGGATGCTTAATAAATGCTTGTTGATTGTTTTCCTGATTCCCTCAGTTACTAGTGCTCCCACCCCCAAATCACTGAGCATTTCTTTTCTACAAATCCTGTATTTGCCCATCTGTGAACAAGTTATATCCTCTAGTAGAGTTCACCTCTTTGAAGATAGGAACTGTCTCTTTACTTCTATTCCTGTTACCACTAGTTGACCTTGGTTGATGGTACAACCCCTGTTGGGTTTTGTAGATGAAGAGGAAGGGAAGGGAAGTGGAACTGGAATCCAGGTCTCACTTTGAGGACAGTGTGTTCTCCAGTACAGGAATACTCTGAGCAGTTTTCCCTTGAACTTGTAGACTTGACCAAGAAATTTCAATTCCTTTCTACTCCAATTACGTTTGAATTTTTGTTGTAAATAGCATTTCTTGTTACTTGGTTTTAGGTTTCCATTTACACTGTGCCAGAGAAGATTGACCAAGCCACATCTGCTCTTGATACAGCAGTGAAGCTTCTTGAATTTTATCAGCACTATTTTGAAATCAAGTACCCTCTTCAGAAATTAGGTAAAAATGTCATCCTATTTCCCTTGCCTTCTTTTAAGTTTGCAGCATTCGTTTGTCAGGGAGCTACATTTGTGTCCTGCATATCTTAAGAGAAAATATGACAAACATATTCTTCACATGAATACGGTTCCTAAATAACTTTTAGCCATCATGACATAGGCTGATTGTATGCCATAACTAAGATACGTGGAAATTTGAAAGACTGTGGCATTGGAGGTAGACATGTGCGCGCGCACACACACACACACTCACATGGATATATATGGATACACACACATATATGGCAATTTGAAGACATAAACTGAACTTTCAAATTGAAATACGTTTACTGGAAACTGTTTCAGTAAGTAATTAAAATGTAATGTGCTAGTAGCTCTTCTACAAAGAAAGACAAACTTACTTATTTGATCGAGCTGCGTATTGGTTGACAGAAGACTGTCTTAACTACATCCTTTTCCCCTCTGGGGAGTGATCCTTTTTGGAGAAATTGGATTTTTTCCATTTCTTTGCTAAGTAGCCATAAAATCAAAGCTCCAAATGGTTTTGATCCCATCTTTCTCAGCTGCCAGGTAGATTGATAGAAAGTGCTGTGCTCAAGGTTGGAAAGTAGCAAGGGGATGGGAGTGTCAGTCTTCTAAGCAAAAGACTTTAGAGCCTTCTTTGTGGTGATAAGCCAATGATGAAAGCATTTTGCTTAAATTAAGAAAAAGAAATGATTGCTGTATTTAAGCAGGAAAAAAAAACTGGGTCACCTTTTTTTCCTTTGTTTCAAGATTTGGTAGCTATTCCTGACGTTCAGGTTGCAGCTATGGAAAATTGGGGTTTGATCACTTTCCAAGAAGAAACGCTCTTATGTGATAATAACACTTCTTCAGTGATGGATAGAAAGCTGGTTACGAGAGTAATTGCACATGAACTGGCCCACCAGGTATTACAATTAGAATATTTAATTAAATTCCATGTCTGTTTTCTGTTTCCTAATGCTAATAATATTTTATAATGCAAAAATTGGCTTTTTTGTATATAATAGAAGTTTCTATAACTCATACTTAGCTTTCTAACCAATACCTCATGCATTTCTCCATAACAAAACTCATGGTTCCCCCATACCGCTCTTTCTCTCCAAGCCTCTTTATTTCAATTGAGGGGCAATACAACACCATCTTTCTGGTCCACCAAGGTTCACAACCTTGGAATCATTCTTGACTCTTCTTCCCACCTCATTCTTCTTCACCTGACCCCACCATATCCAATCAACTGCCAATTCATCTTCTACATCATCGCTACGGTGTATTTTTCTGCTAACATGCCCGTATCATATTTCAAGCTCTCATCGACTCTAGCCTAGACTATTACAATGGTCCCCCTATTTCCAGTATTTCCTTCATATAAGTGCCAAATTGATCATCCTAAAACACAGATCTGATCATGTCATTTCCCTACTCAGAACTCTTCAGTGGCTCCCAGGATAAAATAGACGTTCTTTAGCCTGGCATTTAAAGCTCTCTACAATCTAACTCCTACTTTTGTACCTAGTCTTGTTTCATATTGCTCTTCTCCAAAAAATGCTACCTCTGGAAAATCTGCCACGATGGAAAGATTTTAGTTATGATCCCAGCAACAGACCGAATATACTTTCCAAAGACCAACCTAGCTAAGTATGGACATGTTCATCATCAATGGGTTGGGCACTTGGTTATAAATTTTTTGTTCTTGTCACTCTGTGAACCAAAGAAACATCACAATGTTCTATACACTTGTGTTGCCTCCTTCTGCTAGTGACAGTGGTAGAGTGATGGCAAAGGAAGCAGAGGCACCATATTCTTCAATACATTCTAAATGGACCTTAACATTATTGATGAGACTATAAAAAAACTAAAAGAGAAACAGATCCTATACCTCTCACCGCTATGGGTAGGAGATATCTTCTTAGCCAAATAAGAGATAGAGATAATTGTAAAAGATGAAGTAGACAACTTTGATTACCTGAAACCAGAAAGCTTCTGTACAGGTAACATAATGCACTAAGAATAAGAAGGGATGGGGGTCAGATAGGGAAAAAAAATCTTTATATCAAATTTCTCCGATAAGCGTTTGGTATCCAAGGTATATAAACAATGAATGAATGAATATATGTATACACCCACACACACATATAAGCACACACATACACATAAGATTAACCATTTCTCCATAGATAGTGACCAACAGATATGACCAAACAGTTCCCAAAAGAATTGCAAAGTATTTACAATCACATGAAAGAATGATCCAGATCACCACTAAAAATAGTAATGTAGATCAAACAACCCTGAGGTTTTACCTTACACCCAGCAAATTGACAAAGATGACAACAGTCAGTGTTTGAAGGGTTGTGGAATAAAGTAGAAGCCCATCAGTTGGGAAACGGCAAAACAAATTGTGGCACGTGAATGTAATAGAATATTAATATATTGTAAGAAACAGTGTGTGTGAAGAATACAGTGAAGCATGTAAAGATCTCTATGAATTAATGCAAAGTGAAGTAAGCAGAGCCGGGAAAACAACATACATAATAATTACAACAATGTAAAGGGAAAGAAAAACCGTACACCAATATAACAAAATTATAAAGATCAAGTAAGACTCAAATGAAGAGATATGAGAATACACCTCCGACCCATCTTTTCATGGAGGCAGGAGATCCACAGGTGTTACATAGTGTACACATTTTCAAACTTTTTCAACTTACTAAAAAAAATACTTTGTTATATGGGATGGTTCTTTGGGGAAGGGTGGGAGAATGAGATCAGGGATAACTACAATGATATACAAAACAGAAGACATCAGTGAGAACTTATTTTTCAATAAAAAGAAAAGGGAACAGAGGGAACTAAGAATGACATCTTTTCAAATTGTATATAAATTTTAACTTGATAGTGCTCTAAATTAGAGATCCTTGTTAAATGACTGCCAATGGACATACTACTAGAAGAACTAAATTATATCAATCTTGACATCATATTTTAAAAAGACATAGATAGTAATAAAAATAGTAGGAGACTTTAATGTTCCTCTCTCAGAGCTGGACAAATCTAATAGAAAGATCTATGAAATGGAAAATAAAGAATTAAACAAATTGCTAGAGAAATTATAGCTAAAAAGACTTCTGGCACCTTCTGAATGGAATCACTAGGGAATTACAAAATTGATAAACCTTTAGCCAACCCAGTTTAAAGGAAGAGGGCGAGTAACCAGATAAACAAATAACAAATGAACAAGGTAAGATCACAGCAAAACCAGAATAAAATAAAAAATTATCATAACAGTGAACAGTTAAATACTAACAATATTGGGAATGCTTAAAATTTACACCAATACTTAAAATCGAGAATACTTAAAAAAACCATAAAAGGTTATCCTAAAAAATGTAAGATTCTCAAAATAATAGATCACCAAAGAGAGCTTAAATAATCAAATCTCAGAAAATGAAATCAAAGCTGTTAAAATCTTGATCTTGATGGATTTACAGCAAAATATTGTTAATCCTTTAAAGAACATTTAATACCAATATTACGTAAATTATTCTGAAAAACTAAGAGAGTAGGACTCACTTAAGTTCTGTTTATTCAACAAATATAGTCTTATACCCAAACCAGAGAAGAATAAAGTAATCAAAGAAATCAAAGAAACAATTAATAATTATTTGTGATAATTATGAGAACTATAGACCAATATCAGTAATGCATGTCCATGCAGAATTTTTAAGCAATATCCTGTCAAACACTCTAACTATAAATGAAATTAATAAAAAGAGAATTTGCTGCTAAGTGGAGGGATCATAAATTAAGATTAGGAAAGAACTTTAAAGGCCATTGAACTCAACCACCTCATTTTACAGATGAAGAAATGGGCTGAGTGAGATTAAATGAGTTTCCCAGAATCCTACACAACTAAGTGTCTGAGGCAAGATTTGAACTTGGGATTTCCTGATTCTAAACTCAGTGCTTTATCCACTGTACCACTGGCTGCTTTTGGGTAGCTCACAGTTTTGTTTTGTTGGCTTTTTTTTTTTGAGAGGAATTATCAGAATTAATTTTAGCACACAATCAAAAGCATCAAGAAACAACATAGAATCATAAGTGAACACATCATGGGGTATTTGGTCATTTTTGTATTACAATTTCTGATAAGTATTTGCATAAAGACCACTATGAAAATAATTGCAGTGTATGTACCAATGTCTGCTGCAGAGGATGAAGAAGTAGAGAAGTTCTGTAAAGAACTCAATGAAACTTCCCAAATTAAAATTGTATGTGTGTTTGTATGTATGTATGTGTACTTTGATATTTGGTGACTTTGACTATAAGAAAAAGAGAAGAGCAAAAGGTATATTAGAATATATGAAGCAGGAATAAGGAGTGACAGAAGCCAGACACTTGTAGACTACACAGATGCCTAAAGTTATATATCAAGAATCTTTTCTTTGGGAAAAGAATTGGTAGGTCCTGGACATGGAAAATGAAACTAATTATATTTTAATAGATAAGAAATTACTCATTACTTATTTGGGAGTCATTCCATAATCAACTATCCATTTAGTCAGACTTTTTAGGGGAAAGACCAAAGCTATATGACAAGGTACCTCATTGAAACAACTCAGTCCTGACTAACTTACTATTAATCGATGAAAGAACAGACACAAATACAAACTATGATAATTTCATAAAAATATTTAACTCAAATAAATGAATGTACATAATAAAGCTAAAAAGGCCAAAAAAGTTAGCTATTTTACTTGTTTGCCATGGAGAGAGATGGTACATAAAGGAAACACCATTTTAGAATATAAGTTGGTTTGTAAAATTTTGCAGAAAAGATTGATGGAAAATCACTCACCTGCAGTGTTTGCTCATAAAACAGAGGAGTTATGGGTAGTAAAAATAGTTTAAAAGATAGCTTGGCAAGATTTCACTAAGAAAAATCATCCCAAGGCCAATCAAGTGTGAAAATGGAAGAAAGACAGCAAGGAGAAGAAAAGCTGCTAAGATTTTTTTTAAACCAATTGAATTGTTTTAAACATAAAGGTAATAAAGCTGTCACACTTGGATTTAACATTACAGCCCTGTATTTGCTTGTAGAGGAGATCAAAAGGCCATTAAAGAGAGTAGGGATGAGAAAAGCAACTAAATTAGATGGTGTCACTTAGGACAGTGGTTCAGTGGAGAGAGTGCCAGTCCTGGAGTCAAGAAGACTCATCTTCCTGAGTTCAAATCTGTTGAGCCTTCAGGAAGAGATCTGGGACCATTCAAAAAAATTTGGCTTAACTTGGGGGTCCCAAACTTTCATAGCGTCCTTAGAGACTCCCTAATTTTTTCATGGAGCCACTAGACCAAAAGAAATACCTAATAGTTGCTTATTAAGTGTTTAGGTCCAAACAACAAGTATTTATGTCCTGAAAACTTAGTAGTCATTTAAAAAATAATACTCATAAATTGGGAAAAAATTTTAATTTCATTCCTAAATAACTAATTACTTACTAATGGAATGTGTGTACCTGTTGGGCCCTTTGTAACTTCTCAAACCCTGGAATCAGATTGGACATCATCACCCTCATTTCCTAATTTACATTGATTTTTGCACCATGTTTTTTTTATCACAGCAGTCACTGAAAATGCAACTAAACAAAGATGATGTTGCAAATGAGAAAGTTTGAAAAGTTATTGGCATAGCCTAAAATACAACTAAACCGAAACCTATCTCATACTTTGGCAAATGTCATCAAAAGAAATGTAACATGATCTAATGTTGAAACTTAACTACTTCAAGCAAGTAGTTCACAGTATCCAACAAATGTTGACTATCTCTGTGTTTACTTCAAATTTTAAATATCCCATGGTACCCCTGGCAATTTTGCTGCAGCCCAGGGTGCTATGTACACAGTTTGGAAACCAGGGGCCTAACCATCCACACAGGAAAAGCCAAGTATATAAATAATGTGTATTATTCAAATTATGATATGCAGTTAGATGGACACCCTATAGATAGTTTGTCAGAGAGAGAGAGAAATAATATATATACACACACACACACACACACACACACACACACACACACACACACACACACACACACATATACACATATGTAGCATGCCCATTTACATCTGGGAAAAGCAGTAAAAATATCTGAGTTAGGTCAAAAATTAAACAGAAAGAGTGACCTGGATCTCTGTTAGGAAATTGCAAAGCTCCTTTAATAAGCACAGAAACAAAGACCCAGTCTTTTTAATACCAGTGTACATATACCATATACCACCAATGGTATATGTGTATATATGACTAAAGGGCATGAAATTAAACACTTTCTGAAAAATTAAAAATAGATATCACATAAGGGTAATGAACAGATACATTGTGGGCATGTGCAGGCTGCAATCCATAACAGTTTCAGATCTTTGAAGAATAGGAATAAATGAGAACACCAAGGAAAACGTATAAGTGAAAAATAAGGTAGGCTGGAATAAAGCAAGGTCAAGGGATAACAGCTGGATAGGTTATGTATTCCACTAGTCTCTTCATGATGTCTGGAGAAACTGAGGAAAGCTCTTAGCTTCTTGAGTGAACTTCCTGTGACAGACTTAATCAGAGAGAAGGACCAGAGTCATACAGGGTGGTCAAGAATGAATGGATTTTGGGGCAGCTAGGTGGTGCAGTGAATAGAGCACTAGCCTTGCATTCAGGAGGACCTGAGTTCAAACCTGGCCTTGGACACAGACAACTTACTAGCTGTGTGACCCTGGGCAAGTCACTTAACCCCACTGCCTAACCAAAAAAAGAAAAAAGAATATATTGGGGCAGGTAGGTGGTGCAGTGGATAGAGCACTGGCCCTGAAGTCAGGAGAACCTGAGTTCAGATCCGGCCTCAGACCAAACACTTGTCACTTACTAGCTGTGTGACCCTGGACAAGTCACTTAGCCCCAGTTGCCTTTAAAAAAAAAAGAATAAATGGATTTCCATTTGCATTGTTAGAAGGAACACCAAGTTTGATGCAATCACAGATCTATTTGAGTATACTTTGTATTTATCTATGGTCTGGTTGTATCCGTCTTTTAGAATGTAAGCTCCTTGAGGGTAGGGACTATGTCATTACTTAACACCACCTTACACATAGTAAGTGCTTAATAAATGTAATAAATAACTATGGAATTTCAGAATTAGAAGATCATTCAGAGGCCATCTGGTTCAACCTGTGCCTGCACAAGAATCCACTTTATAACATTGAACACGTGACACCTTTGTTTATATTTCTCAGGTCTAATTTCCTGTACCTCCAATGCCTTGTTGCATTGTTGGGGCAGCCTTAGAGAAGGCACTAATTATGTCATGTTCTAAACCTTGATCTCACTGCTGTAAGAAATCCCTAGAAATGCCTCACTGACTTCTGCACTCCTATGGGAAACAATTTGAAAACCCTCGTAGGTGAGATGTGTATTTACAAACAGCTATTAGTTGGTGGTAGATTTGCTTGCTCATTAAGAGAGTCTCTTTGGCCTATATACTCTTTCTCCTGCCTCAGTAAGTATTTCGTATGATTATTTTCCCTCCTTCCCTCTCACCTCATGAGAGAAATACATGAAGAGAGGACTATAGAGTTCTTAAATTTGGCCTTTTATATATGTGCCATTTTGTGGAGGAATATTCATTTTTAATCCTATAAACTATCTGTAACTCAGGCAACTTAGAAAAAACCTAAAGACTTAGGTTCTTCCCCCCCAACCCCCCTGAATAAGGAAGGAAAACTGTCATGTAGGCAATCAGTATAAATGCTAATTGGTCCATTTAGTTCAATTCACCAAACCAATTCACTGGTTGCACAACATATTCACTGATATGCACATTTGCATAATATATGCAGTAGTGCTGAAGGAGATGCAAAGGTTATATATATGATAGAGTCCCTGCTCTCATGGAGGGACTTTGCATTCTTAAGGGAAGGGGAGTCTGATACTCACATAAACTCTAGTACACAGGATTTAGATAGGGCAGGTTCGTTTAGGCTGACCACTTCAGCTGCAGAAGGGAAATGACTTGCTTGAAATTTCACAGATGGGTAATAAGTAGTGGAAAAGGAATTCAAATTCAGGCTCTCTGACTATAAACCCAATACTTTTGCTATCATATTATGCTGTTAAATACATTAGAGAGATATTTATCTATTCATCTATCTCTAACTGGAAAATCACTGGCCTGTCAGAAGGTGAAGCAGTGGAAAAATATTACCAAATTTATTCAGTTTATAGAACATGATAGGGAAATAAGGAGAACTTTTAGAGTACAAAAAAATCACAAATTTAAGTTGAAATGTAAGATATTTTTCTTCATAAAGTATAAAACATGTTAGGCAGAAAATCTCTCATCTCTTTTCTCCCAGTCAGTGGTTTTCAAATGTAGAATGTTTTCCTCCATTTTAGAAGTAAATTTAGATCACTTCAGTAATTCTCTTAATGTTTATTTTGGATGTAATTCATTCTGTTTGTATTTCTGTGCACAGAATCCTGCCATTGTATTTTGTAATAATAATAATAATCATAGCTAGCATTTATATAACACCTACCACATGCCATATTCTGTGCTAAATGCTTTGTAAATATTATCTCATTTGATCCTCATATCAGCCCTGGGAGGTAGGTGCTATTATTATTCCCATTTTACAAGTGAGGAAATTTTTGTCTTTAGTGATTTATTATAAAATTAATATTAAACATCATTTCAACAGCTAAATTTGTTTTGCCACTACTACGTTTACATAAATGAAATCTCAGTACTTAAAATGTCATCATTATTTAGTTACTCCGTCTGTCTCCACCACTTTTCTTTATTTAGTTTCATTTACTCTTTTTCCCCACCCTATTGATAATATTTTATCTGTAGTATTCCCTTTTTTATAAAGCATCAGAATATACTCTCCATCCCTACTAATATTTCCCTGTAACAAATAATCTAATTCGATGTCAGAAATGTTCCTCTTGTTTCAAATTCTTAGAAATTTTCTGAGAACACATATATTTTGCCAATCAATTCTTTGTGTTCTGTTTTTCCTCTTAGTGGTTTGGCAACCTGGTAACTATGCAGTGGTGGAATGATCTTTGGCTAAATGAAGGATTTGCTACTTTCATGGAGTATTTCTCCTTGAGCAAAAATTTCATACAGTTATCGAGTGTAAGTACTACTCTTCTTGGGCTTAATAGAGATTTTATGTTAAATTTGTTATGTCTGTACCATATGCCCAAGTCATTTGGGAGACTTAAATAGTTTTTGAAAGTTGTTAGTTGCTGATAGATTGTATGTCTTCAGGTTCAAAATGGTAAATTTTGATTTTGTGTGTCAGTTTCATCTTTTTGTAGAAATAACCTCTAGTGCTAGCATGGATATAATAGAATGTGGTAATGATATATTTGTGTATGTTATTCATTTTAAAATTTTGTCATGGGTATACAGCAGTAAATAGCTTTACAGCTTTTTCCAGCATTTCTTGCTGTCTGTGACCTAGGACAAATTGTTTTACCTTTTAGGTTTCCTCACCTAAAACTGAGGGGTTTAAAGTGATTTCTGCAGTTTTTTCCAGATCTGAAACCTATCATTCAGTTCCTCCAATTGTTTAGGGAATTTGGTTAGATAAATTTTAAAAGCCTTTTTTTTTTTGAAGATAATTTTGGAAGAGAGAAAGTTACCGTTTGTGTGTGTGTGTGTGTGTGTGTGTGTGTGTGAGAGAGAGAGAGAGAGAGAGAGAGAGAGAAAGAAACTAAAAGAATACAAGAGGTAAATATTAAACATAAAATATGGCATGCCCATTATTATCATAGTGGGTATATGTACAGTTCAAATCCAGCCTCAGACATTTACTAGCTGTGTGACCCTGGGCAAGTCACTTAACCCCTAATTGCCTCAGTTCCTCATCTATAAAATGGCAACACACTGGAGAAGGAAGTGGCAAATGACTCCAGTATCTTTGCCAAAAATAAAAACAAACCCCGGACAGTGTCCATGGGGTCATATAGAGTTGGACACAACTAAACAAAAACAACAAAAATATGTACAGTGGTAGGTAGATATGTACAGTGGTCTGGCTAAATGACTGACTCTACTAGGTACAAACCACATATTGTAACTTGGTGTCCCTCTTAGGTTATATTTTGAAAAACATTATTCAGTTGTAGCAAGAGGAAATATACCAATTTTTTATGTGGCTCACCTTATAATCTTATCTCAAGTGTTTCTGAAGGATTATTGATTCGGATAACATTAGGAAAATGTACTCCAGCATAGTACTCCTGAGGTAGGTGTTAAGTCCTATTCAGTCAGGCCCTACACCTTAAACTATTTTGAATGATGGAAGAAACTCATTCTTAATCAAAATAATTTGCTTTATTTGAAACGGTAATGCCTTGCTTTAGTTAAGAAGCATATTCAGTATACAAATTTTTAAAAAGCATTTAATGCTTGCTTTTAGGGGAGAGCTGCTTATTTCACATAGAATACTTCTTGTTTTGAGGAGTTTTTTTCTTCTTTAAATCCTTATAACAAGGACCCTTGAGAAGAGAATAATGAAATATGTTTCTATGTCAGTTTTTACAACATAATTATATTTGAAAATTAAATTTAAAAACCAGTTTTAAGCACATACAAATAAAATATTTACATTTGTATTCTGTTCTAGTTTTAAGTCCTTCCTGCCTTTTCTCCTGGCCCCCCATTCTCACTAGGATGAAACTCTTCACTACCTGAACCTCAAAAATATCGTTGCAGGTTTTTGGCCCATGGTGGCAGTATTTTTGGTTTCACCAGTAGGAAACTGTTTGCCCTCTTTTCTTGCTTGGTGGTCTATTCTGACTCCTCTCTTGAAGCCAGATTCTATATAGTTCAGCCTTTGGACTCAAGTGTGGGCTTCAGGGACTGTCTTATTTATCTGTTTTATATTTCGTGGCACCTGGCAATACTACTGGACAGTTGCTGTGAGAGGGAAGTGTTCAAGAAATGTTTGTTGAGTTACAGAACAGAATCATCACAATTCTGAATAGAAGCTACTGCAAAGGTTGGGTGTGGGGGCAACACATTAGTGATAAGAAATTCTAAGGCAAGAGCTACAGAAAACTTGATAGGGGATGCCTGTGTTCTCAAAGCTGAGCATAAAGGCAAGTGAAATCTAAGTGGGATAGATAGATGAGAATAAGAGCAGGTCATGGGAATGGATGGAGAGTTAGTTTAGAGAGATGATGGAAAAACACGAATTGTCATTCAAGACCAGAATTTCAGAGTTTAGATCTCGGAGGAGCAATTCTGAGATAGTGAATTCCAAGATGTGCCCAGGAATTTTGTAACCATCTTGTTAGAGGTGTTGAAGTTGCCTGAGGATGTTGGCAAAGCAATGGGTAGAAAGGAAAGTCGTCAACCAGCTATAGAAGTCATGGGAAAAGTAACCTGGGAGCCAGTAGATGACAACAATGATGGGGAAAGGGTACCACCAAGTCTAGTTCCTTATAAAGTGTTTTTAATTCTACTCAGTTATATAATCTGAATTTTCTAGCTGACATATCTAACTGGACTTTTCAGAATTTGATCTTTTTCCATATCTGCTTTTATTTCTACTTTTCTGATTTCATGTTTTCTTTTTATTTCTTTTTCTCTGGGTTCACATCTTGACTCTGCCGTTACCTATATGATTTGGAACAAGTAACTTTCTCTTAGCTCTAAAGACATTTGAGCTTAATGATATCTAAGAGCCCTTTTAACTTTAAATTTATGGTCCTATGATCCTATTTCATTTCAGTATAGACAACTAGGTTTTTGTTTATTGGAAAAGCAGAATGAAGAAGCCAAAATTTGGGGAACATAATAGGTTATTTTGTCAGAGCTGAAGTGGATGAAATGTTCCAGTAATTGGCATGTTTCTGTAAGAAACATTTGTGCCGTGAAGCACACTTCGTTCACAGAAGAATTTTACCTATAAAAATTGCTTTGCCTAATCATATATATATATATATATATTATATATATAGAGAGAGAGAGAGAGAGAGAGATATATATAGAAGAGAGAGAGAGAGAGAGAGAGAGAGAGAGAGAGAGAGAGAGAGAGAGAGAGATTGGTATAGATAGGTAGATAAAAGAAGTCATTATGACCATTTTGATTAGCAGAGAGAATTACCTTTTCAGGTGAATCAGTAAAAAAGAGAAAAGCTCAAACATCTTTTGTTTCCATTGTGAACTATGCTTAAATTGGAAAATGTCTTTGGCTGTACTTAACGCTTCATTTGTGATTTCTCACAGTTTATTAGTCTTTGTGTTCTTTTGCTAGTATGAGGATTTCTTGAATGTTCGTTTTAAGACCATGAAGAAAGATTCTCTGAATTCATCTCATCCAACCTCATCTTCTGTTCAGTCTTCAGAGCAAATTGAAGAAATGTTTGATTCGCTTTCATATTTTAAGGTATTGGTCTAGTAAAAACTGCTGAGAGTTGAGTTCTAACTGATTTTGTGTTTGCAAGCAAGTTACCTCATGTTAGAAGTTAAGCAAACCATATATATGTTCATTTGGTTTAAGAATATGTTTATTAGTTCAGCTGTTCACCACCCTCTATACTCAGACTCCCTGTCCTGTGACTGCTCATTACTTGCCAAGCCCATACCTTGAATTACTCCTACTGTCTTCCCTCTATGTTCCTAATCATATGCTACTGAACACTTTTAGAAAAAGTCACATGATCATGATAATTGGGTGCCCTACCAGTTTGTAATCTAACCTCATCTGAGCTCTCACTGAAGCAAGACAATCTTCTTAACTCTTTTACTTCCTTCCCCGATTGACAAATGGTCAAAGGATATGAACAGGTGGTTTTCAGAAGAAGAAATCGAAGCTATCTATAGTTATATGAAAAAAATGCTCAGGGGCAGCTAAGTGGTACAGTGAAAAGAGTACCAGTCCTGAAGTCAGAAGGACCTGAGTTCAAATCCGGCCTCAGACCAAACACTTGACAGTTACTAGCTGTGTGACCTTGGGCAAGTCACTTAACCCCAATTGCCTGGAAAAAAAAATAAAAAGAAAAAATGCTCTAAATCACGATGGCTTAGAGAAATGCAAATTAAAATAATTCTGAGATACCACCCCACACCTATCAGATTGGCTAATGTGACAGAAAAGGGAAATGACAGTTGTTGGAGGGGATGTGGAAAAACTGGGACACTAATGCATTGTAGGTGGAGTTGTGAATTGATCCAACCACTCTGGAGAGCAATTTGGAATATGCCCAAAGGGCTATAAAATTGATCTAGCAGTACCACTACTTAGGTCTGTATACCAAAAAGATCAAAGAAAAAGGAAAAGGAACTATATGTACAAAAATATTTATAGCAGCTCTTTTTGTGGTGGCAAAGAGTTGGAAATTGAGGGGATGCCCATCATTTAAAGAATTTCTGAATAAGTTGTAGTATATGATTGTGATGAAATACTATTGTGCTCTAAGAAATGATGAGCAGGATAATTTCAGAAAAACATAGAAAGACACATGTGAACTGATGCAAAGTGAAGTGAGCAAAACCAGGAGAATATCGTATACAGTAATAACAATATTGTACAGTGATCAACTATGATTGATTTAGCTGTTCTGATTGATGATCTAAGACGGTTCCGAAAGACTTATATGAAAAATGCTATCCACCTCCAGAGAAAAAAATGATGGCATCTGAGTACAGATCAAAGCATACTTTTTAAACTTTCTTTATTTTTTTTTCCCTTTTTTTTGTATGTGTCTTCTTTTGCAACATTGTTAATATAGAAATATGTTTTGTGTGGGGGGGAACCCTCTTCTTCCCAGAGATACATTCCTAATAGCAAGGAATTTTTTTAAAATGGAAAAAAGAGAAAAAAATCAGCAAAGTCAATACATCAGAAAAAAACTGAATTAGGCAGTGTTCCATACCGTTAGACCCTCTCACCTCTGTGAAGGAGTAGAGAGAGTCACATTTGTCTTTTAGCTTTTTTACTTTTTTAGTTAAAGCACGGAAGGAGATTAGATGAGAGCCAGAGCATCTGTATACAAATTCAAAATAACTTAGTGACTGATTAGAAATTGGAAATGAGAGTGAAGGAAGAGCCAAGATTTTGTTCCTGGACGACTGGAAAAAATGATGGCACTGTTGGCAGAATTAGGAAGGTCAGGAGAGGTTTTCTGGGTTGGATTTTTTTTTAAGGATTTTAATTTTTGTTCTGAATATCTGACAAACATCAAACTCATTCCATTAAGCTTTTTTAAAATGTATGTAATAAATTCAAACACATTAGTTCCAAAGCTGCTTTGTGTCTCTGTGAATTTCTGTTCTGTAAATTTTTTTAAAATGTTCATTGATGCTTTTTTGAGGGGGATGGATTACTGTCACTAGCTTCTTCTACCCCATCTTTTGTTATCCTCTCTTTCTCACCAATAAATCCCTCCCTTGTAATGAATAAACATAATCAAACAAAACATGGCCATGCCTGAAGGTCTGTGTCTCATTCTGTCTTACTGGTTTCTTCCTGCTGCCGAAGTCACAGCTTCCTGTTCTAGCATCCTTCATCAGTGGAGGTCTACCTAACCACTGTTACTTTATCCATAATCGTGCTTAAATGGTTAGCAAACTCTTGCCCACCATCCTTATTGATACTGAATCCCACACTACTGAAGAAGAGATGACAGATATCACCTCATCTTAAGCCTTCCTTTCTCATATTTGCTATACCTTGTCCCATCCCTAGGGCAGCTAGGTGGCACCGTGGGTAGAGTGTTGGGCTGGGAGTTGGGAAGACTCGTCTTCCTGGGTTCAAGTCCAGTCTCAGACACTTACTAGCTGTGTGATCCTAGGCAAGTCACTTAACCCTGTTTGCCTTAGTTTCCTCATCTATAAAATGAGCTGGAGAAGGAAGTGGCAAACCATGCCAGTATCTTTGCCAAGAAAACCCCAAATGAGATCACAAAGAGTCAGACACAACTGAACAAATAATAGTCTTATACCTCCTGATTCACTGCTCCAAGTCGGGGAGTCACAATACTCCTTGCTCCTTAATGCTGCTCCCAGGTTTTTCCCTCTCCTACCATTGCTCAGTAACTGTTCCTCCTTTGAGGTTCACTCCATCCAGATTCATTACTGAATCCAGATCCTGGCAGTTGTTATGTGCCACCCTGTAGGACACTCTCACAATTTTCTCAGTAGGTTTAGTGCTGGGCTTGCAGTATTCTTCTCCATCTCAAGGCTTGCTTTCATAGCAGGAGACTTCAGCATGTAACTTAGTGTTTCCTTAAGTACCCTAACTTCTCAGTCCCTCAGTCTCCTCAGCTCCCATGACCTGTTCCTTTCCTCCATCTCAACTGTAAGCGGAGGGTTGGTCATACCATCGCCCATGCGTGCTCTGCTCCATGACTGAAGAACTCAGAAATTCCTTTGTCTGATCATAACCTATTATTACCCTCTGCTTCCTTATACCTCACTCTTGTCAGACCTATCCTTCAGTCTCTCCAGCCCCTAGAATTATACCAGATCACCATCACAGCCCCTACTGTATTCTCCTTTCTTAATACTTAGTGAACCAGTTCATTCATTGCTTTATTCTCCTCAGATCTTGTGCTCTCTTATCCTGTTGCTACTCCTTCACAGATCCCAAACCCTGGTTATTTCTACCACTCACCTCCTTTTCACCCTTACAGGTGCTGTTGAGTGGGACTAGAGCAAGTCTTGAAACCAAGCTGACTGGGTCCACCAGAAATTAAGTTCTCTAACTTCAATTTGGTCCTCCGTTTAGCAAGACGGCCCTTTTCCTATCGCCTAATTTATTGTTTACCTCATTCTCCCCAGTGCCTATTCCAAGCCTTCTGTTCTCATTCCTCTTCACTGCCCTCCTTCCCCCTCCCTCTCAACAGAAGCTTTTGTCTCATATTTTATTGAAAACATCAAGGCTGTCCCTTAACTCCCTCTTTTCTCTTCTCCTAATCTCATACCTCCATGACATCATCTCCCATTTCCTCCTTTATTCCAGGTTCTGATGAAGAGGTGATCCTTCTAAGGCCAGCCTTGTGTACTATTGTTCCTATCCATCCCCACCTTCTTGAGCAGGTTATTCCTACTATGAAACTTCCCTATCTCTCATCTCTACTGGTTCTTCTCCTTCTACTAATATGTTCAAGTCTCCCTCATTTTCAAAAAAACTTCAGTATTCCTGTAACCCCTCTAACTGCCTTCCTGTATCCTCTTGCTTTTCTCAGCTAAACTTTTTGAAAAACCATCTATATTTGGTACCTCAGTTTCCCCTCCTCTCATTCTCTTCTTTATCCCTTGAAAAATGGTTTCCAACTTTATCATTCAGTTGAAATTGCTCCCTCCAGAATTATCAATGATCTGTTAGCTTCTAGATTTAATGGCTGCTCCCCACTCTTCATCTTCCTTGACTTCTGCATCATCTGACATTGTAGACCATCCTGTCCTCATGGATGCTCTTTCCTCTCAGGGTTTTTAGGAAACTTCTGTCTTCTGGTTCTCTTCCTACCCATCCATCCACTCGTTCTCATCTCCTTTTGCTGATTCATCATCTTTGTCACACTCACTAATTGTAAGCACACTCAAAGACTCTGGTCCTTCTCATTTCTCTTTCCACTCTCAGTGATAGTCAGCTCCTGTGGACTCAGTCCCTTTATGTTGATAACTCCCAGATCTATATGTCAGGTCCTGATCTTTCTCCTCACCTCCAGTCTTTCCTCACCAACTTCCTTTGGGAATTTCAAACTATGTGTCACAGAGACTTGTCAAACTCAGCGTATCCAAAACAGAATTGATTTCATGTGACTAAATTGTCTCATCATATCCTTTGACCATTTATTAATTGGGGGATGACTCATATTCTTATAAATTTGACAAAGTTCTTTATTTATTTGAGAAATGAGATCTTTATCTAAGAGACTGTTTATGAAATTTTCTCCCCAATTTTCTGCTTTCCTTCTGATGTTGGCTACTTGGTTTTATTTGTACGAGAACTTTTCAATTTAATGTAATCAAAATTATTGATTTTATACCTCACAGTGCTCTCTTATCTCTTGTTTATTCATAAATTGTTTGCCTGTTTGTGATTCTGATAAGTAATATGTTCCATGTTCTTCTAATTTTCTTGTGATATATCCTTTATATCTAGATCATGTGTCCATTTCGACTTTATCTTGGTAGATGGTTTTAAGATATTGGTCTAGGGTCAAGTTCTGCCCAAACTATTTTCCAGCTTTCCCAACAATTTTTGCCAAATAATGAATTCTTATCCCCAAAACTTTACATTTGTTAGACACAAGGTTACTATAATCCTTCATTGCTGTGTTTTGTATGTCTGCTTTATTGCACTGATGTAGCCCTCTATTTCTTAGCCAGTACCAGATAGTTTTGATATTTACTGCTTTATAATACAGCTTGAGGTCTGATACTACCTAACTTCCTTCCTTTTCATTTTTTATTAGTTTCTTTAAAATTCTTGACCCTTTGTTCTTCCAAATGAATTTTGTTATCATTTTACCTAACTCAGCAAAATAATGTTTAGTAATTTAACTGGGATGGCATTGAATAAATAGATTAGTTAGATTTTTATTATATTGGCCTTGCCTACCCACAAAGAATTAATCCAACTTTATTTGTATAAAGAATGTTTTATAATTATGTTGATGAGGACCTAATTTAAATTGGCATGACTTTAGACTGGCTTTTAAAAAAACTTTAATTTCATTTTTAAAAATTGAGTAGACCTAGGTTATATTCAGCCTGTTTTCTGTCAGAGTTCTGTGAAGATCTTACATTTGATATTGATATGTTCCCCTTAATACAGTAATTTGCAAAGCACTTAATGACCCTGCTTAAAAAGAGACTTAATACCTGCTAGGACAGAGAATGAACATTTGTCATTTTAGTTGTGGATAGTCCACGTAAGTCTAATCCTTGCTCCAAGTGGTTCTGTAGATATGCAGTCTTTGTTTCTATACTTTATCTTCTCTTCCATCTCTTAATAAGAGTTCGATTTCCCCATCCTTTATTGAAATGAAACATATGGTCTCTGGCATGTTTGGCTCCTGCCCTTAGGGGAACTGAAGTGGAAATGGAACCAAGGTGTGTGTTCCACATGGACTTAGAGAAAAGTAGGATGCTGGATTGTTGACCGGTATTGTTTGAATGAGGAAAACAAATACCAACGTGGGAAAATGTGTTCTTTAGAACATATCCTGCTCTTTTTTCATTGTAGTGATAAAATTGTGATGAAATATAACAAATGTACATCTATACATTTGTAGGAAATAAAAAAATGTATGTAATGATCACAGAAATTGTATAGTGAGACCTTTTACCTTATTATACATATTGGAGCTGTTTCATATTATGAATTTTGAAACCATAAATTAGTTTTTATGAGGTGGTATCCTGGGAACTTCTGTTCTAGTTTTTTTTTTATTTAACTGAAAAAATAAAATTGAGGAAGTTTTCTATTATGAATACTTAGTTAATATTTAAATGTAACAAGTCCTACAATATCATGAAGATAGTTAAACATTAAACAAAACAAAATAATGTCATTTTAGGCAAGAAAAATTCTTGTTTTATGCAAGTTTTTCATCATTGAATTTTCAGAAATATCAGATGAAATTTTTGAGTAGGATCATTTATTGTGTAATAAGTAGATGTACTTTAAAAAGTCTTTATTTTCTTCTTGGTCTAGTTATACTACTTAGATATAGACTACTTAAATAGGCAAAATGTTATCAGCGAGGGCATTGGCTTTCCTATTGTGTTATGAAGGGTAAAATCCATGTATACTAGAAAAATATTTAGAAAATCATGCATGAAAATTTAATGGCTCTAATTTCCATATTGCCATTGTGTGTATATGCTGCCTTTTATACAGTAGGCACAAGCTGAAAGATGTATCAGCCCACTTAAAGGTTCTCTTCTGATGACATATGTAGTATCTTTTGTGAAGTGGAACTGAATTCAAGTGGGGAAGATGACAGGATGAGTTCCCAGGTTCTTCTACTGGTGCACTTTTCTTTTAAAAATATCAATAAGAACTTTTCTGGACTGTTTGGGGGGAGAATGGGTCTCTTTATCTTGCTCAAGCTGGGAGTGTAGCAGCTACTTATAAGTCCAGTCCCAGTGCTGATCAGCATGGAAGCTTTAACCTGCTCCATTTTTCAGACCTGTGTGATTTTGATTCTTTTTAGTGATCCTGTTGGCCCTCTGTTCCCAGGGATTCATGATGTTGGTCTGGACTTGGTGTGGATACCTGATCTGCGTTATCCCTGCTTATTGTAGCTTAGAACTCCCAAACCCACGCCATTTACCAGCCTCAGCCTTCCCACGAGGAGAGGCTCCAGGCTTGCACCACTAAGTCTGCTGTCTCTTTCCTATACTTTTAAGAAGTCTAGGGAATTAGTAGCAGTAAAACCTTGAGTTTCCCTAATGGATATCATTATAGTTAGGAAAAAATGCTTTTGGGAGAATAAGAGAGAATAGAAAACTTCTTTCTGAAGCTTTAAATAATTTTCAAGGCAATTTTAATTTCACAAAATAATTACTGAATTTAAATGAGTGCATGTAGCAGAGTTAGTAATGTAGGAACTCATTTTTGATTTTACCATTAGGGAGCCATACATTTAATCTCTGCACTAAAATATAATTATATTATGCGAAACTTTTACTGTCTATATCATTTCTATGTTTTGAGTCACATGCTTGACCCATATTATTGAAATGTAAATAAACGTAAAAATGAAATCAAGCTTCTGCAGTTTGGAGTAAGAAAAATGTGTCCAGTACATTTAGGTTCTGAACCAAATCTGTAAGCTATAAAAGTTCATTCTTTCTGTCTATTCACTTATTTTAATTTTTTTTTAAAGGGAGCATCTCTTTTGTTAATGCTGAAAAGTTTTCTGAAAGAAGATGTATTTCAGCATTGCCTCATACTTTATTTACACAATCACAGCTATGCATCTATTCAAAGTGATGACCTTTGGAATAGTTTTAATGAGGTAAGCGTTCTGGAGATTTTATTCTAGGTATTTCATTTAACGGAAAATAGTGAGAAATTAGGAAAAGCTCTCCATTCCACATCCTTAGTTAGTATATAAGTGTAAACCAAAAATCTCACAAAATAATGAGAGTAGTTAAATTACTAGTTTTTTTAAGAGGGGGTTGGATAGGAAGAAGCACATTCTTCCAAGGTGTAAAAAGTATGTTTATTTCATAAAAATGTGTCATATTTTGTTTATCTCTTTTACCATGTAGTTACTTTTCTGTATGTGATATTATACACACGCACATAAGTATGTGTATGTATGTATATATGTATACACATATTATATATTCATCACATCCTTCTAAACTAGATCATCATTTAATTCCTCTCCATGTTTTCTGACTTTTTCTTCATTATTTCTGACAAAGTTCTTCAGTTGATTAATCTCCCTAATGGTTTAGCTCTGTAAATTTATGCTGCTGGCTTTTCATTAAGACTGAGCTAAAGGTGGTCTTTATCTGATGTCTCTGGGCAAAGAGGAAGATTGACAAATTAAGTTATAGTAAATTTATTTGGCAATGTTGTCTTTTCTCCCGAGTGAAATTGTTTTTATTTTGCAGGTCACAAAAGAAAATCTGGATGTAAAAACAATGATGAAAACTTGGACCGTGCAGTCAGGATTTCCTTTAGTGACTGTTCAAAAAAGAGGGAAACAAATTTTAGTACAACAAGAGAGATTCTTTCTAAGTACTACAAATTCTGGAATTCATCCTTTGGATTCAAGGTTATTTGCATTCTCTTTTTATGTTTTGATCTCATCATAGAGTTTTCTTCATGTTTACTCAATGGAGACCTTACCACACAGTGGTACGGTAGAAAGTAAACTGATTTTGAGTGCCTGAGTTGTCATCCTCTTGTACTGCCTGTGTGTTCTTGGATTGGTGACTTAACCTCCCTGGTCTTCAGTTTCCTCATCTATAAAATTAAGGCATTGGACTAGATTTTCCATTTCTGTATTTTTGATCTAATGATTTTCCCCCCAGACAACATTCATAGTAAATAAGTATTTGCATAGATAGATAATAGTAAAGAAAAGAAGGTATAATGGAATATTTTGCTAATATTATTCTTGACAGAGGTCACTTGGGCTACAGTAAAGAATAACAGACAGTCCTCACTTTACATACCTTCACATTATGCAAATTTGACTTTATGTAAAGAATTATTTAAAGAAAGCATTCTAAGAAAACAGGGATGTTGACTTCACTGTACTCCACTCTCTCTGTCCTGCCCCTTGGTACTCCCAACTCCACCCTCCCTGCCATAATGAAAAAAACCTTTTAAAAAAAAACCCTCCAGATTAAAGCATAAGAATGGACTCTCATGGCTTAAGATGTCCAGTACCAAGAAGGATGATCTTTGCCCCACTCTCCTCACGCACCTGTGTATCCGGCCCCATGTGTCTGCCTTTTGCCCATCTCTGCTCAGCTATCATGTATCTGTCCTCAGCCCCTGTGTGTCACCTACCCTCTCCTATTTTGTGTCTGTGTCCCTCCCTCAACTCTCTGCATCCCAAGTGTTTTTCCTCTTGGTTCCAGGCAGGCTCCCCAGTGGCTGGCCCCATCCCTGGTGTTTCTCCTCCTGCTCATACTTCCCTGGCCCCTCACATGTCCTTGAACTGTGTGCCAGCTCTTTCCCTCCATGGGCATGGCCCCCTTCCTGCCTGCCTCCCTCCCTCCCTTCCCCAGGTTCTCTCACAAATTTGCATTACATAAAAAAGCCACTGTAAGTATAGGTCTGTGGAACTGTCCACTTAACATAAAGCAAGAGCTGTCTGCAGTTGGATTTAGACACATGGATATAGTCAGATACATTTCTAGACAAGGATACAGTGAGTTCCTATTCCCAACTTCTGGTCCATGGCAAATTTTTATTAGTTTGTATAACTTTTACTACCATAAATCTCAATTTCTTAAAACCTCTAAACCTTAAAAGCTGATTCTTTCCTCTACTCCTGTTTCTTTCTCTCTGCATCCCAAATCCTTCCCCCCACTTCCATTTTTACCCATACACACTCTCTCTCTCTCTCTCTCTCTCTCTCTCTCTCTCTCTCTCTCTCTCTCTCTCTCTCTCTCTCTCTCCTCCCTCCCTCCCTCCTCCCTCCCTCCTCATAGAAGGGAGACTATTCTATGATAGAAAATTGGATATTTTCCTAGCCTAAAATAGTTTTGAGTTGGGAAACCACTGCTTTTGATGATTTGTCTATGTAACTCTCAAGTGTGAGAATATACTCTTTTTTCCCTTCAAAATATATTTTTTAAGCTTTTAGTTGCAGGTTAGAAAAGGGGAAGGCCATGTTTAAGAAGAGGTTTTTTGTATTCAAGTTTTTAATTCATCAAAATATACTTCTGCTTGATTTTCCTAACATTTTTATTTGCCAGACTGAGGGGGGGGGGGAAAGCACTTTTTGAATGTCTTGCATAAATCAGATATGTTTGTGAAATACTGTAGTTTGATGAATTAACTCTTGAAATAATAGCTTTAAAAATTTAATTGACTCTTTCCAAAAAAACCTATTCAGTTGTGTGGCCAGTTAAAAATAAAGTAATAATAATTCTTCAATAATTTTTTTCTCTTTATAGCTATCTATGGCATATTCCACTCTCCTACATCACTAGTGACCATAAGCCACAAGAGTATCCATATGTGACATTACTAAACAAAAAATCAGGTATCGTATATAACACTTTAAATTTGCATAGAATTTTCTTTTTTAAGGGTTCATTGATCCTTTTAATATTTTTTTTTACATCATCTAGGCAGCTGGGTGGCACAGTGGATAGAGGGGTGGGCCTGGAAGCAAAAAGATCTGAATTTAGGTTTGACCTCAGACACTTTTTGTGTTAGATTGGACAAGGCACTTGAGTTCTGTTTGCCTCAGTTTCCTCATCTGAAAAATGGAGATAATAATAGCTTCTACCACCCAGAGTTGTTGTGTTTTGGGATAAAGATTGTTACTGTATTGGTCTGAATTTTGATTTATTTTAGTGTTATTTTCTTTTACATTATGGGGGTTATTTTTATATTATTATCTTAGTTCCACATTCTTTGTTCCATATCAGTTAATACAAATCTTCTCAAGTCTTTGAATTCTCAATGTTCCATATTTTTGTAATATAATAATCTATTTTGTTTACTGTAATTATTTGCCAATTAATGGGCATCCACCTTGTTTCCAGTATTTTGCTGCCACAAAAAATGTTGCTGTGAATATTTTGCTATATAAACAACCAGCCTTTTTGTTTTTGACTTCCTTGAAGATGGTTGTGATAGTTCTGATTTAAATGGTATGAATGGTTTAGTGATTTTTGTTGTTGTTCAGTCATGTCCAACTTTTCGTGACTCCATTTGGGGTTGTCTTGGCAAAGATACTGGAGTGGTTTGCCATTTTCTTCTCCACCTCATTTTACAGATAAGGAAACTGAGGCAACCAGAGCTAAGTGACTTGCCCAGGGTCACACAGCTGGTAAGTATCTGAGGCCCAAATTGAACTCAGGTCTTCCAGACTCCAGGCCACTGTGTCATTAGCTATTACTCATGCTGTTAATTCCAAGATGATTTCTGGAACGGTTCAGTCATTTCACAATGTACCTGCTTTGCTTCAGTCCCTCCGTCATTAACTGTTTCCATATTTTAACTTCTTTGATGGTAATTTGATAGTCACAAAGCACAATTTCAGATTTATTTAAATTTGCTTTTTTTAAAGTATTTGTTATTTGCAACATTTTTTCATGTTGTGGACAATTTGCATTTCTTTTTTTGAAAGACTGGTCTTTATCCATTGTGGAACACCATTTGATCTTGACCATTTGATACTTTTTTCAAATCTCCATATATTTTGGATATCAGACTTTTATAGTATTTGTTGCAAAGATTTTTTTTTACCTAGTCAGTGGTTTTGCTATTCTAGCTATATTGGTAGTTTGTACAAAAACTTTTTATGTAATAAAAATTACCTTCTTTCCTCTTGTATGATCATCACCATCCTTTGTTTGGTTAAGAACTTTCCATATAGCCATTTTTGAAAACATTACTTCCATTCTTTTTTCTTTTTTTAAAAAAAAATGTATACATTGTTACAAAACCATTGGGAGTTTTTGTGGTTTATGGTGAAAGGTGCTGATTTCAACAGTCTTTTGGCTAACTACTTTCTGGGCTTGCCTAGAAGTACTAGCATCATAGAGAGTCTTCCCTCACCACCATCACCATCCCCACCCCTAAAGATTTCATTATTGAACGCTGACTGGTGTTTAATTGCTAATGGTTTCCTTACTTACCTGGTTTTATTCTGTTGATAAACTTTTTCTTTAACCAGAACCAATTAGTCTTTAGTGATTAATGCTTTCTTTATACCATAGCTTTAGATCTGATAGTGCTAAAACTCTGTCATTCCTTCTTTTTTTACCCATTATTTCCCTTGATAATGGTGTTTAATTGCTAATGGTTTCCTTACTTACCTGGTTTTATTCTGTTGATAAACTTTTTCTTTAACCAGAACCAAATAGTCTTTAGTGATTAATGCTTTCTTTATACCATAGCTTTAGATCTGATAGTGCTAAAACTCTGTCATTCCTTCTTTTTTTACCCATTATTTCCCTTGATAATTCCTTTTGTTCTTCCAAATGATTTTGTTATTATTTTGTCTAGTTCCAGTAAGTTAGCCTCTTGGTAGTTTTGTTGTATAACAGGAAATATATAAATATTGTAGTTAATACCATCATTTTCATCATTGGCATGTTCTAATCATAAAAAAAAATCTTTTTATAGTTGTCTTCTTTTTATTTCTATAAAAAGCATTTGGAAATGAATCCTGTGACTTGGTAGCTTAACACTGTCATATGTTGTGAATTTTGGGTTACAATTATAATAATTTGAGTAGTTTACATTTTTTTTAATATATCCCTTTTATTTCCACTTTATATATCTTGGGGAGGCTAATAATTCAACTGAAATTTCCAGAGTTCTTGGTGACCTCTTAATTATATTCTTTGGTGAGTAATAGTTAGGATTTCTCCTTACAGTTGCAGGATTTCTCTCTACTCCTTGCCTGTCTTTGGCTACTCTAGAAAATTTTCTTTAAGTCCTGATATACAGCATCTAGCATTTTTATTCCTTTAACATAATCTTAGATTTTACTTATCCTAATATTTTTACTTTTCTTTTTGTCTCATTTGTCTTTCGAATCAGTTGTTTTGACCTCTCTATCCAGATATTAATTGATTCCCCCCTCCCTACCCCACTCCTCAGTTTTGTTACTACTTCTTGGCTTTGTTGTTCTCTTTGATTTTTCTTTTCTATTGATATTTCATAACTTCTGTTTCTGTATGCTTTAATGTTTGCAGAATGCTTTCTATACATTGACCCATGTGAGCCTCATAAGTCTTTGAGGTAGAGATTACAATTCCGATTTTACAGATGAGGAAACTGAGGGTCAGGAAGCTGAAGCAAATTGACCATGGTTATCCTCAGCTACTAAGTGTCATAGAAAGGATTTGAATCCAGGTCTTCGTGTCTTGGAATCTAGTTCTCTATCCATTAAGCTGCACTGCCTTTTCCTCTTTTTTTTTTTTGGTTGGGCAATGGGGTTACCCAGGGTCACACAGCTAGTAAGTGTTATATGTCTGAGGCCAGATTTGAACTCAGGTCCTACTGAATCCAGGGCTGATGCTCTATCCACTGCACCACCTAGCTGCCCCTGCCTTGTCCAGTTTTAAGTAGAGATAACTCAACATACGAATAAGGCACTAAGAACCACAGTCATAAAGACTAGGGTTCAGATCCCTATACAAAGTTCTACTCTAGAGCCTTATCATGGCATGGTAGCAATTCTAGGTTCTCGGAGGTTTTTCATCAGAGTACAGGCTCTTTACTCCAATACTGCATTGGAAATGCATCAGGGACAGTCTTGGCAACAAACAGTATGCTTTCAGAGGACCACCCTAGCTCAGTACACAAAGGCTTACCACCAGTAGACTGGCCAGGTGGTCACAAATTCATTGACCCTGGCAACCAGTAAATTAAAAAAAAATACAAAATGGCCCTTGGTCCTGTTGTGCAGTGATGGTGTCAGGGCACTAAAAGGGTAGATAAAACAAGGGTTCTTAACCTTCTTGTATGTCATAGACCCCCTTATCAGTTTGGTGAAGCCTCTGGACCCCTTTTCAGAATGTTTTTAGTTATATAAAATAAAATACGTAAGATTACAAAATAAACTTCTTATGTTAAAATATAATTATCAGCATATTTTTAAAATGGTCACGGACATCAGTGTAGACAGTGATAAGAATCACACAATTTTTAAACCATCCAGAAATATTGACTTAGTTATTGCTACTGTAAATGTAAGAACCTTGTCCAGTGACCAGCAAATATACATAGTATCAGAGGAATTGTATTTTATCAGTCTTGGCAGAAAATCTTAAACAAAACCAGAAGGCAGGAGGAAATTTGTAGCTATGGCTTACAGTTTCTCCCTGGAGAGAGGCAAACAAAGTTGCTACCAGGATTGATTTTAATTTTTGTCCAAAGACAGAAAGAAATGTTTTATGAGATACTTGGTCATCCCATATCACAATGTTCATGATTTGTTGTTCAGTCATTTCATTTGTGTCTAACTCTTCATGACCCCGTTTGGGGTTTTCTTGGCAAAGATACTGACTGAAGTGGTGCGCCATTTCCTTCTCCAGCTCATTTTACAGATGAGGAACTGAGACAAACAGGGTTAGGTGACTTGTCCAGGGTCACACAGAGATGTTCATGATAAGTATCTGCAAAAAGAGCAACGTAAATGGACGATAATTAGAGAAAAATCTGTGAAGATTAGTTGACAAATTAAATCAGCTTTTAATATACTTCTCAGTAATTCAGATTTGGCAATGAGGTTAGGCATGGATGACAAAAAATATGTTGGAAAATATGGATCAGGAATGAGGATTGAAAGAAGCCAGACTTTTAGGCAGCACAGAAGCCTCACACCTATAAATCATGAGTATTTTATTGAAGAGAAGAATTAGTAGGTGCTGGATAATGTCAAATAACATCACAAAAGATCAAATTGAGTGTATTTTAACAGATAAGAAATGATTCATTACTGATGGAGGAGACACTGGGAAGTCAACTGTCTGCATTTTCAGACCGTTGACTCGTTAGAACAAAGATAAAAACTAATGCAGAGCTAACAGAACAAAAATGAGAAAAAAGTTATGGTATGCAATTAAAATAACTCTAACTTGACCTATTCATACAAGGTATTGATTGTGAAAAATGGGATAGGTACAGAAGAAATGACACAGATTACACTTGCAGTCACCCCTGTCTTACATTATGAAATGGCCTTTCTCCTTACCAAGGCAACCCCTCTCAAGTGATCCTCTTCCTTCCCATCTCCTCCAACAGATTGCCCCCTCTGTCATCCCCATTCTCATTTATTTTCGGTCTCTTCCTCTCTACTAAATCATTTCCAACTGCCTACAAACATGCCAATATCTCCCCTATCCTGAAAAAACCCTCACCCAATCATTCCATTCCTGCTACCATCATCTTATATCTCTTCTGCCCTTTGTGGCTGAACTCATTGTTAAGTCTGTCTATAATAACTGCCTCCACTTCCTCTCTTCTAAACCCCCTATCTTCTGGCTTCTGACATTATTATTCCACTGCAACTATGCTCTC